ATCCCGCCAGCTCCAGCCCTCTCGCCATCGACGTGAGCGTGACCAAAGCCACCACGGCAGACCCCGGCCTGGCAGCGGCCAGGTCTCGGCGATCGGGAGCGAACAAGTCAACAACCCCACCCGGGAGGCTGGCTGCTGGCGGCCGCGCTCGAGACTGGCGGGCGCTGGGGCTCGGAGTTCCGCCGCTGGGCCGAGGCCGCGGCGGCCGACAGCCTCCGGCGCGCGGAGGCGCTGGCCGACCTGCGCCAGAGCCGTGCCGCGGCTCTGCAGCGCGGGGTCGGCGGCGCGGGCGCGGCCCGGCTGCGCGCGGGCGCGGCAGACCTCGTGCGCCCCTGGAAGAGGCCCCGGCGGGCATCGAACACGGCCACCCGGTCCTCTGCCCCTCGCCCAAGCCCCCCCCCCACCAGCAGCCCTTCGCCCAGCTAATGAAGCAACGTCTCTCGCCGCGCCCCACCCATATGCTCTCTGCGCTGCCTGCCTGCTTCCCTGCTTGCCTGCTTGCCTGCTCCCCCCCTCTCCGTCCCCCGTCCCTCGTCCCTCCCTCCTCGTGCACTCCTGCTTCTCCTGGCTCTGTGGTCTCCCTCGCTCCTCTCGCCCGCCCCCGTCCTCCGTCTGGTCCGTCCCTCGGCCCCGTCTGCTGGCTGGGGGGCGCGGTGTTCAATTGGTTGGCGTGTCAGTTGTAAAACTCCGCGGGGTATCGCAGAGATTTTCTCGAGGTGGAGCCAGGCCGCGCTGGCCCGAGCACAGCGTCATCGCTGGACGGTCCGCCTCCTCCCTCCCCCCTTTCCTTCCGCCCCCCTCCCTCCCGCCCCCTCCCCCGACGTGAAGCATAAGGCGCAGCCCAGGCCTGGCAGCCAAGCAGGCGCAGCGTCGGGCGTGGGGCGGATTGCCGTGGATCGGACGTGCAGTCTCGCCCCCTGCTTCTGCCTGCTGGCCAGCCTCAGTCCTCTCCTTTCTTCCTGCGCTGAGGAGGAGGAGGAAGAGGAGGAAGACGAGGAGGAGCAGGAGAAGTAAGAGCAAGAGGAGAAGGAGGAGGAGCAGGAGAAGGAGGAGGAGCAGGAGA